ATCTAGTAGCACACATGGAGGGGTAGTGGGCCCATATATATCGTACCCCTTTCATATTCAGTTTGATCAAATGTCGATTCACAAATATTTAGCTAGTAATAATTTCACCAATCGAGAACAAAGCATCTCATATCACAAAGAATCAGTTAATCATGCAAACCATCATCATTTATATCAGTAAACATCACAATAATTAATTGTGACCAATTAAACATATCACATCATCTTTCGGCGGTAATAAATGCACTTCAAGTGCAGATTCTGGCCCACAATATTTAATTCAGAATTGTATCACATGCGTATCATTACTTCTGTAGCACAGACTCTCTGTTTTTAGAGTTGTATAGTATACGCATCATTTCTATAAATTATTAAGCAATCCATTCAATATTTCTGAACAAAGGTCCGAATTTACAAATGGATTTAGCATTCTCAAATATCCGTAAATATTATCCATTTGTTCCAATAAATATCATAAAAAGAATTTATCAGTCTCGAATAGAAAGACTGAGGGTGCTAATGATTAATGGTATTCCAGGCGATATTCGATGGTTGATTGAAGCAAAAGTTCGATTGTCGGGAGAGTTTCCAAATTCATACAAATATATGCCAGGTATGGGTAAGAGTACTTTTGCAAAGAAACGAAGAGCAAAACGATTAGGTGGGTGCTTCAAATGCGCTCGATGGACTTGTGACACACGATGTAAATCTGTGGGGTTCGTGTCCAAAAATCGAGAAGATAAAATAGCATTTATAAAGGATGGATTGAGTAAAGAGTCTATGGATCAAACGATCCACCAGATTCTTGAGACACATCCTAGTGGGTATGTGCATCGTGAGCTTCTGTCTCTATGGATTCGTTTCAAAAATGAAGAGGAACGTTATAGTCTCGAAAATATTGTTTCAAAAGATCAAGTTTGTAAAACTAGTCTTTGTTAGTATGAAAATCATACTAATGAAGTTTAGTAGTTGCACTGTAATTTTCAGAGAATCTTATAACTGCCGACATATAAGATTTATTTAAAACCCAACACCTTATTTGTAGTTGCAATTGTCAGAAGAAAACAGTAAAATTATTTATCGCTTTGTAAAACTTTCTATTTAAATAGAGAGTCATTCAGCATAATCATATGCCTCACAAACTTTTGAAAAATAAGTTTATCAATAGATAGATGGATGTTTCAGAGCCTTCGCAAGGTAATAAATTTCTTCAGCCGATCAAAACCATATGTGTTCTTGGTGGTTCTAGACTAGTAA